TTGTCTGTATGTGGCTTAGATTTAGAAACATCAAAGTATATATATTCTTGATCAGGGCGACGAGCTGAGTTGATTTGGCCCTGTCCGTCCGAGCAGTCTCGACTATAGCTTTCTTACTTGTTTTATACTCAATTACGAAAGTGAATTAGTATATTGGTTTTGTGCAATGTCCGTCTTGCTGTCCGTCCGTCTGTCCGTCTGTCCGTATGAACGCAATCTATTTCGGCGCTATTGAAGCTAGAGACTTGAAATTTGGAACACATACTCGTGTATATCTCCGATTTATAAAGTGTTAAAATTTTCCCGATCTGCCCACTAGGGGCGTGGTAAATCGGAAAATGCATTTTCCGATATACCAGAAATCATGTTTGTTGAAGAGCTAGAAAGCTGAAATTTGGTATGTAGGTCCGCGCCGACCACCCAAGATCATAAGCTATGGCGGATATATCTCCGCCCTTTAGGGTCGTGGCAAATCGGAAAAAACTGTATCTCCAATAGTTTTACAGCTAGAGCGCAGAAATTTTGCACATCAGCTAATTTTATGATTCTGTAAAGTTTAAAGATAAAATTATAAGTCTACGCCCATTAGGGGCGTGGGAAATCGGACCTGAAGATCTAGTGATTTTTTAAATTCTGCTATAGAGCGAAACATAACTACTAAATTGCTGATGGGATGTGAATGAGTATTCCTCAGTCGGTAACGCCCGACTGCAACGTTCTTACTTGTTTATACCCTGAGCCCATTGAAAATGGGAAATCAGGGTATAATGGTTTTGTTAAAAGTATGTAACAGTCAGAAGGAGGCGTTGCAGACCCCGCAAAGTATATATATTCTTGATCAGGGCGACGAGCTGAGTTGATTTGGCCCTGTCCGTCTGTCTGTCCGTCCGTCCGTCCGTATGTATGAACGCGTCGATCTCAGAAGATATAAGACCTATAGAATTTTTTTCCTAGGTCCGTGTATATCACGCGTATATTGAGTTTTTCTCTAAATATCGATAACCACTCCCGATATTTTATTATCGATTAAGAACCTTATCGAAAACTAGTTATTTAATTATATCCCCTACACCTTTAGAGATAGAGATTCCAAATTTTAAATGTAGACTCACATGTGTTTTAAACAATTTCGGTTTTTGTTAAAATTTACTGCTCACCCCTATATTCACCCACTCACCCTCACCTTTGTGAAAGGCGTATTGTGCTTTGGCAAATGCATGCATATTCGTGTTATAATCATAATCTCAAAGTTTCATGAAGAAAGTACATCCACAAGAAAAGTTATTAAACAATTTAGTTCCCATAGTAAGTCACCACTACAGCCAATGCGTGATTATGCGTGCGTGCGTATGCTGTGTGTGTGCATGTGTGAATAATTATGGAAATATCAGTTGCTCGAAGGGTTCAGGGGATCTCGTAGTGGAGCAGTCTCGACTAGAGCTTTCTTACTTGTTTTCTAATTACTTTGTGAAACTGTTAGTTATTTTGTATTAATTGCTGTTGTATTTAGTGATTTGCTTTGAGTATTGTTACTTGATTCATTTCATAAGTTTGGGCTTTATATCATTTCTTTATTTTAAAGATTCTATTCTCTAACAATCGCAGTCACTGAACTACTTCGAACGAATACACTTGACTTCGATTGTGTTTTATTTCGTATTAATCTACAGTGGCTCACACCTTATTTCGTGCAGCAGCATAGTAAATCTTTGAAACCGTATTCCCGCTAAACCAGTAAAGATATCCAAAACAAGTAAGAACGTTGCAGTTCGGCGTTACCGACTGCGGAATACTCATTCACATCCCATCAACAATTTATTAGTTAAGTTTCGCTCTAATACTATAGAATATACAGGTTTTTTCGATTTGCCACGCCGCTACTGGGCGTAGCCTCCTCATTTTTAGCCAGTTCTTAGAACGAGAAACCGGTAACCTAAATGCAAATTTTGAATTCTTACGCTCAAAAAATGTGAAAATTACAGGGTATTTTTCGATTTGCCACGCCCCTAAAGAGGCGTAAAAATTATTTTTTGAGGCATCGATAGAGGAGGCTATCAGTAACTCAACTATCCAAGTTTAAAGCTAGTAGCTATTATACTTTAGGAGATATAAACTTTTGCGGTTTGCCACGCCCCCTGTGGGCGGACATATATCCGACAAAACTTTTTGGTCTTGGGTGATTAACCCGAGTATATATACAAAATTTGAGGTCTCTGGCATCAATAGTGTCCAAAATAAAGCAGAATATAAAAAATCACTATATCTTCAGGTCCGATTTGCCACGCCCCTAATGGGCCTAGGCTTATAATTTTGTCTTCAGACTTTAAGGAATCATAGCATTAGCTGACGTGCAAAATTTCAGCATCCTAGGTTTACAACTTTAGGAGATACAGTTTTATCCGATTTGCCACGCCCCCAATGGGCGGAGATATATCCGCCATAGCTCGTGATCTTGGGTGGTCGATGCGGATCTATATTCCAAATTTCAGCTTTCTAGCTCTTTAACTAACATGATTTCTGGTATATCAGAAAATGCATTTTCCGATTTGCCACGCCCCTAGTGGGCGGATCGGGAAAATTTTAACACTTTATAAATCGGAGATATACACGAGTATGTGTTCCAAATTTCAAGTCTCTAGCTTCAATAGCGCCGAAATAGATTGCGTTCATACGGACAGACGGACAGACGGACGGACGGACAGACGGACAGACGGACAGCAAGACGGACATTGCACAAAACCAATATACTGATTCACTTTCGTGAATGAGTATAAAAGTTTAAATGAGGTCTTATTTATTGCTTATTCATTATGTATTAACGCACTTCGTTATTTTTGTATTATAATTTATAACATTTAAAACTAAAGAAAACTAAAACAAGTAAGAACGTTGCAGTCGGGCGTTACCGACTGCGGAATACTCATTCACATCCCATCAACAATTTAGTAGTTAAGTTTCGCTCTAATACTGTAGAATATACAGGTTTTTCCGATTTGCCACGCCCGAACTGGGCGTAGATACCTCATTTTTGGTCAGTTTTTAGAAAGAGATAACGGTACCCTAACTGCAAAGTTTGAATGCTTACCCTCAAAAAATGTGAAAATTACAGGGTATTTTTCGATATGGCACGCCCCTAAAGAGGCGTAAAAATTATTTTTGGAGAATTGATAGAGGAGGCTACCAGTAACTCAACTATCCAAATTTGAAGCTTCTAGCTATTATACTTTAGGGGATATAAACTTTTGCGGTTTGCCACGCCCCCTGAGGGCGGACATATATCCGACAAAACTTTTTGGTCTTGGGTGATCAGTCCGAGTATATATACAAAATTTGAGGTCTCTGCCATCAATAGTGTCCAAAATATAGGAGAATTTAAAAAATCACTATATCTTCAGGTCCGATTTACCACGCCCCCAATGGGCGTAGACTTATAATTTTATCTTAAGACTTTATAGAATCATAACATTAGCTGACGTGCAAAATTTCAGCATTCTAGGTTTACAGCTTTAGGAGATACAGTTTTATCCGATTTGCCACGCCCCCAATGGGCGTAGATATATCCGCCATAGCCCGTGATCTTGGGTGGTCAACGTGGACCTACATACCAAATTTCAGCTTTCTAGCTCTGAGCTTTCGAGCTCTGAGATCAGCACCTAAAACCAAATATAAGCTGTGGCAGTGGCTGTTGCATGGTTGGGCCTGCAAGTCGGGTTCGGGTGTTGGATACTTAGTTTTCATTGATGTTAATATGAACAATAATATGTACCCATCCTTTTTAAAGGAGAATTAGCTCCAAAATGACGAAATCTGGGTCTCGAAGGGCGATCCCGATTGCATTAGGCAAATGACCAATAACATAAACCGGGTATTGACTAGTCCTGGTTGATCTGGAACAGTCCAAATGTGGTCAATCCACTGGCCCAGTGGTCATACCTAAAAGTTTAGGAAAATTTGTGGGCATAATTGGTCGTGGCCATTCGGAAATGGTCAATATCCAATAAAATTTACGTCAAAACGGCCCTCTTGGAGGAATGGTCAAAAATCTCTTGCGAAGTCATCCCAAAAAACAAAAAGGATGTATAAAAATCCTAATTTAAGAATTTTTAGACAATAAAGTCATTGAAAGTGAAGTGCACGAAATAAGCTGTGACATGGAAGAGGCCAGTTATTTTAGTTTTCTTTAATTTTAAATGTTATTAATTATAATACAAAAACAATGAAGTGCGTTAATACATAATGAATAAGCAATAAATAAGACCTCATTAAAATTTTTTTTGGATATCTTTACTGGTTTAGCGGGAATACGGTTTCAAAGTTTTACTATGTTGCTGCACGAAATAAGGTGTGAGCCACTGTATATTCTTCTGATCCCGATTTTATATACCCACACTCATGATTATTTTCAAACCTTAAATCTCGTGCGTCTATTGTTGAGTGTGTAAGGCTCACCATTGGTCTATTACATATTCTCATCTTATTGCTGAGTTTGTAAGCTTCCGCGTTGGTCTATTAGCTATTCTTATCCTATCGCTGAGTTTGTAAGGCTCTGCGCTCGTTTCTAACGTAATTTGACTATTTATAGAGTCCGTACATGTGACCCTTATCTTTTCCCAGCGCACTACTTGCTATTCGTTGAGTGCGTCGGAATTATGTGTACGATCTTGGTATATTCATCTGTTCATGTCTCAACAACTTGTTTTATATTTGTAGGATCAGAAGCGTTTTTCTGTTCAGCATGAGTTTCAGAGTATGGGGGTGCTATTCTACTAAACAAATGAGTCGTATATTAAATTCAGCGTATCGAGTGTAAGGAGAGTTGCACAATGCAAGAGCGACAAGTAATTATGCAGGTCCCAAATATAAATTCAAATTAATGAGTGAATTCGGCCCAACATACCGGCCCCCTTGAATAACGGAGTAGAGGAAGAATCACTATTTTGTGAACTAGTCTTCGGATTATGCCTTTGGTAGTGCAGACATCTTCAAGTCGTACTCGTTGATCTCGTTCATAGATTGTAACTTTAATGCGACACATTATACAGTTCGGAGAAGGTATGTTGTCCTCATGTATGAGAAACATGTCACCAATAGAGATACTGGATGATAGTTTGATCCACTTGGAGCGTACGTTCAGCTCATTGAAGGAGTCTGCTAGCGTCGCCAAAGTTTGATACCATTGTTTGATACCTGTCTTCAAACGCTAGCGGTCTAAAGATTTCTTCTATATTGTGTTCAGGCAATGCTCGCAAGGAGTGGAAGGTAGATATCAGAGCACCCAAGTCGCATCAATCTGATGATAGTGGAGTGAGCAGGAGCGAGTTGAGAAGGGTTTCTACTTATGCTGTGATTATGGCCAATTCCTCAAACGTGCAGCGGGCATTCATTAGGCTGTGCGTCATGAGTCCCTTGGCGCTTTTAACTGCCGCCTCCCAGAGGCCGCCAAAGTGGTGTGCTCTGAAACGAAAGTTTATGAATTCACTTGTGCAAAAACTAATAATTGATTGTTAATTTTCTTGCTTGAACAATTAGTTCCGTAGATCATTTAATTGATTGCTTGATCCAGTGAAATTCGTGGCGTTGTCTAAATTATATCCATAGGCAATCCTCGTCGTGCAATCATGTGCCCTAAAGCGGGTATGAAAGTATCCGTTGAGAGGTCAGATACCACCTCGCTAGGCACAGCCTTGGTGGCAATATATACTAATGTAAGCCGAAGGTAGACGCTAATGAATGCGTAGGTAGACGCTGACTGGTCCGCAAAAGTCAACTCCACAGTGAGCGAAAGGTCTCGATGGAGTTAATCGCTCTACAGGCAGATCTTCTGAAGATAGAGCGAGCCAGGTTTCGAGCATTTACGATCCAGAATTGAAGACGAATTAGTGCAAGAGGTGCCGAACCTCTGGTGCATTTGCCAATTCGAGACGGCCGCCAATCTTCAGTAGTAGGTATCCGTCTGTAATCTGTACAAATTGATTTCGAAATTTTATGTAACTTGAATTTCATCTGCGAAGTGTTGTTGCTGCAGATCACAAACGCACGTTGTAGCTCTTGAGGTGATGGCGAGGTCGTAGACAGCTCAACGGGTTTCGGAAGCGCGTGTATGAAGCGCAGCATCCAAGCAACAATTCGCAAACAGTCTATGCAACTGCAACTCTTTGGTGTTCGGCTGCATACAGAATCGAGGTCTTGTCAGCGACTCAACTGAAGTAAGCGATGCAGCAAACAATTTCCAAGCTAGGTAAAGTGTTTGTAGCACAGACTCATCCCATTGCAATTTGAGTATCCACAGCTCCTCCTGATCTTTGCTGTCACAATGACTGGCGCTAGAGGCGCTCACGACAGTCCACCAGGACTTGCCTGAACATTTTCACAACATCGGCAGTCAATGCATATTTGTAAGACCGAAGGCGTATCAAAAGCGTAAATAGATCCGTCTGAATAGTTGGTCCAATCACTAACAAGTCATTGAGTGATCGTTGTGATAAAGTTCGATTTGAGGAATCGAAAACAACTCTAAGCTTCGCTGAAGTGCTATTTGGCTTAAAGACGCAGTGATGTGGTATGCGATTGTGTGGGTCGACTAGCCTTCTGTATATTCAGCCTTTATCTGAGGATTGCGATTTAAGCGCCGTTTCAGTCACTCGACTCTCAGCCTTAAATGTCGATGGGCATCTTGAAATCCTCCAAACGTAACTTGATTATGGCCGAAGTGCCAAACTTGATGTTTGTGTGTTATTCGCCAACGCTGCAGATTCCCAATTTGGCAAGCGTAGGGATTTTTCTAACTGATAATCTGATATGAAGTGAGCAAGAATCCAATAGAGCACTACCAATCCTGTAGTTTCCAGATGCATCCATGACCTCGACTATGACCGTTGCTAGAATGATTTGGTCAGTAGTTCGTGTATGTATGTTTGAATACTGCAACGTGAAACTCGATGTTCTGAATAAAGACAAAGAGGACATGAGTGAGTTGAACAATTAAAAGACAAACCATGTCGCGTGGCTTCGTGGTTTGCTTGCAATCGCAGTTCGAAACTGGCTCAATTCTTACTTACCGCGTGATTCCAAATATTGGCAATGCCTCTCAACTACCTTTATACACGAATCCCACGTAGGCAACTTGGAATAATCTAATTATTCGTTCCATTTGCGCTTAGATTCCATGTCCATCTTATCTATGACAATGGCTATTAACATTGTCTGTGCGATATGTGCCTATTGATTTTAGCGAGTTGTCCAATGCTGTAGAGTTGTCAATCGATTTTCGAGACTATTTGACCTTGACATACTCTTGAGCATAAACAACAACGAGATATTGTCCAAGAACACTAATGTTGGATTGTCGTAGCGTTGATTCAAACGATCAAGTGCTTTTCGGAAGTTTTCAGGTGTGATCTGAAATGCCTTCACCGATTCTAATGTTGCTCCTTTTAAGCAGCTGATCAGCTGATTAAAATTTCCAAGCGACACTTTAGTTCAGATTGAATTGGCGCAGATTTCCCTTCTCTTAGTTTGGGATCGAAGACATTACGAATGCCGCTAATATTATGGCAACTGAGCGTGCAAAATATAAGGCGATGAGTTTCACTCAACTGAGCGCGTATAATGTCAAGCAGGAAGAAGGGCAATGCCTGCGACGAATTTCATGCCTTTATGTTATGCAGCGCAGTTTGTGCGTATGTATGTAAGCGCCTTTTTGTGAGCAGCTTCACTTATGTATTTCTACTTTGACGAATATGATTTATGAACGATGTCACGGCGGAAAGCAAATATATGCACAGCAATACCTTTTATGCTGGAACACTCCCGCTTATGTACATATGTATGCAGAATGTATATGTACCTGCGATGTACGGAGCTTTGAACAACACTGCTCCACGTAGGGCGCCAAAAATGTAGGATCAGAAGCGTATTTCTGTCCAGCACGAGTTTCAGAGTACGGGGATGCTATTCTTCTAAACAAATGAGCCGTTCTTTCGTAGAGTTCTTGATATAGACTAAAATATAAAACGTATGAGCAAGCACACTTTGCCTAATGTTCGGCGAATGAGTGTAAGTAAGGAGAGTTGTACAATGCAAGAGTGACAATTGATTAGGGTGGTCCCAAATATAAAAATATAGGTATTAAATTCAAATTAAATGTGAGGGAATTTGGCCCAACATTATTTATGATTACATCTATCGAATCTAGCTTATGTCCAATAATCTTTCTGGAAGATTTCTTTTTATTATATCTTATTATATTATTATATCTCATAGCATTGGAATCATGTTGATTATATTCTTTGCTTATCTGCAATATAGTATGAGATTTGGCTGGAAATAGTTATTGATATGAAATTTTGCATCCCCTCGTGCGGTCGGGCGTCAATAACACGACTGTATAATCGGACGAATCTGGCTGTCGATTCAAATCATGATTCATCTTTCGACCTTGTCGGGAGCGCCTGGGTAGGGGGTACCTTGAACCCATAAAAGTATTCAAGTAATTCAAGAAAACCAATTCCTGTAAGATTAAGGTGGGAAAATATTATCTATTTAATGTAATGTTATCGAACCCCCAATGAAATATGTTATGTAAAGGAAACAATATACAAATATTTTATTAATTTATGATATTTATAGTTTTAGCATATATATCATATATCAAATTGTTCCGAACCCCAAAACATATATGTATGTATATATATAAACAGCAATGCATTTTTCAAAATCTTTTCATAAATATTTTGCCTAATGATAATAATGATTCGTATTTTTTTGAAACGTTGTTCCTGCCTCTTCATCGATATTAACAAATTCATTAGTTATCGAAACCAATGCTTCCGAATTCGCAATTGTTTTCGAAACTTTGCTTAAGTAGTCACTCCTATATGAACTTTCATCAATATTTTGATTTTGTCTTTTACTATGGTGGCGACTACATAAGTTAAAGCATGTTTTTTGAGTTATTTCATTATTTTCTATTTTATTTTCTGACTCAATAACTGTATTATTGCAAGATTGATAGCAATTATCACAAGAGTCTTTATTATTTGCGCAGTCTGATTGATTTGAATTTGGTGAGGATGAAGGTTCATATTTGCGGGGCCGACCCCGAGATAAATGGCGTCTTTTAATGAACTCGTTATCATCAACCATCCAAAAAGAGCCGAAGTCATCTTCGTAACGTACAAAACATTTATGTAGTGACAAATTTGTTCGAATAGCATTCTATAGTTCCATGCAATTATATTATTGTAAAATTAACAAATATAAGAACATATTAATTTGAAATGAATAAAGTATTGGTACATTCATTAATTATGGAATAAAATATTTATATTTTTTTCTCCATAGCTATAGTATTTTGCAATAAGATAAATAGGTTGAATTTATTAAAGCATAAGACAAAATTTTTCACAGCATTCACTTTTTAACTGAAGCGTTTGGACAAGGAGCCATGTAAGTAAGTGTCGCAATGAGTAAGCTAAGTAAAAACGAACTCTCCGACTGTATTCCAACGTTAAAATATGGATATATTATCTGAGCTGAAGGCCTGTATTCCTAATTTTGTAATTAATTAATTAATCCATAGCCAATCAAATATAGGTTGTATTAAGTCGCATAAAAAAAAAAAAAAAAAATATTAATGATAAAGTAATATCAGTAACCATAGAGCACATAGACCGGATACGCAGTGTAAAGCCTTTTGCACAGTTCTTTTTTTTAGCATTAAAGCCCCAGATTATTTCTTATTTGCTCGGTTCCTTTTATGTTCGAGCTACGAAAATATGCGAAAGCACAATCATTTCACTTCATGTGCTCGACCGAGATGGTCGTCTCTTGAACAAAAGATGCCTCTATGCTCAAGTTTTTGTCTTGCTCTCTCTCTCTCTCTCTCTCTCTCTCTGCTCTCTCAAATGCTTCTATGCTCAATTTGGCGTAAAAAAAAATAACTTATGTGTGTTTTTCCCTCTCTCCTTTGGGCTTCTTTTGAGCCTTAATTTTCATACTCATTTACGTAAGTGAATTAGTATATTGGTTTTGTGCAATGTCCGTCTTGCTGTCCGTCCGTCTGTCCGTCCGTCCTTCTGTCCGTATGAATGCAATCTATTTCGGCGTTATTGAAGCATTTGCATATGCATTTTCCGATATGCCAGAAATCATGTTAGTTGAAGAGCTAGAAAGCTGAAATTTGGTATGTAGGTCCGCGTCGACCACCCTAGATCACGAGCTATGGCGGATATATCTCCGCCCATTGGGGGCGTGGCAAATTGGATAAAGCTGTATCTCCAAGAGTTTTACAGCTAGAGTGCTGAAATTTTGCACGTCAGCTAATGTTATGATTCTATAATGTCTAAAAATAAAATTATAAGTCTACGCCCATTAGGGGCGTGGCAAATCGGACCTGAAGGTATAGTGATTTTTTAAATTCTGCTATATTTTGGACACTATTGATGCCAGAGACCTCAAATTTTGTATATATAGTCGGGCTGATCATCCAAGACCAAAAAGCTCTGTCCGATATATGTCCGCCCACAGGGGGCGTGGCAAACCGTAAAAGTTTATATCTAGAATAGCTAGAAGCTTCAAATTTAAATAGTTAAGTTACCAGTAACCTCCTCTATCGATGACCCAAAAATAATTTTTACGCCTCTTTAGGGGCGTGGCATTCGACAAATACCCTGTAATTTGCACATTTTTTGAGGGTAAGCATTCAAATTTTATAGTTAGGGTATTGTTATCACGTTCTAAGAACTGACCAAACATGAGGTGTCTACGCTCAGTAGGGGCGTGGTACAGTATTTGAGCGAAACTTAACTACTAAATTGTTGATGGGATGTGAATGACTTCCACAGTCGGTAACGCTCGACTGCAACGTTCTTACTTGTTTTAAATTCATAACTCTTTGCGGTCCCTGGTTTTTACGCCGCCCGTATACCACGCTTTCTCCTGCCCTCGGTCCCTCGGGCTCCACTTGTAAGGTTACATTTATTACGGCCGAGGCTAGATCTCGGTCTCACAAGGGCCAGAACTTACAAGAAAATTTATTAAGTTCTACGGCACACAGAATCGGAAAGGGGGGGGACAGTTTTAAGCTTACGCGCTACAAAGCCTAGTTGCTACAAAACCTAAAACTACCAATGGAAACTTAATAAATATGCAACAATGCCTCACGAAATATAAATGAAACCTTATTATCCAACTTCCGCACTACAAAAGGCTGCTTGCTATGGCGCGAGCAGACAACGCAATGCCAGGCGGTTCGAGGGCATGAAGCGAAATGATTGTGCTTTAAACGTAAGGAGCCGAGCAAGTTGTCTGGGGCTTCAATGCTAAAAAAAGTGCAAAAACTCTTTATACTATGTGTCCGGCCTTTGTGCTGTACGGCTAGTGGTAGTATGCAGTTAAAGAAATTTTTGATAATTTGATGTTAATTACAAATAACAGGTAAACGAACGGACATTTATTACGTTATATACGTTATGATTCTTATAAGGCTTGGCTTAAAGACTAGACGAGCGGACAAAGCACAATTGCAAAGAAATTACGTACACTCAGTACTCTATTAAGGCGCTGTCAGTCAAAAATTACGAAACCGGTTATTAATATTTCTTTCAATATATGAAAATTATAAGATTTTCGTTATAAAAGCTTTCCTGGCTGGCAAGAAAAGGGTTGTATGTCATAAAAATAATCCCTTAATTTTTAGGAAAATTGCAGGAAATTTTTCGATATGCCAGCCTCAAAGAGGCATAATAATTAATTCTAGGTCATCAGCAGAGGCGATTATTAGTAATTCAACTATAACTTTTTTTCTATACTCATTCACGAAAGTGAATTTCGGCGCTATTAAAGCTAGGAATACTCCTGTATATCTCAGATTTATAAAGTGCTAAAATTTTCGCGATGTGCCCACTAGGGTCGTGACAAATCGGAAAATGCATTTTCCGATTAACAAGAAATCACATTAGTTGAAGAGCTAGAAGCTATGGTAGATCAACGCCCATTGGGGCCGTGACAAATAGGATAAAACTGTATCTCCTGGAGTCGTAAAGATAGAATGTTAATATTTTGCACATGAGCTAATGATATGATTCTATAAAGACTGATGAAAATATTACATGTCTACGGCCACTAGGGGCGTGGTAAATCGGCAAACCTGACGAACGTATACACTTGACTATGATGGTGTTTAGTTTCGTATTGATCTTTATATAGGTTTATAGACCCAGACTCATGCATATTTTTAACCTTAAATCTGGTGCGTCTATTGCTGAGTGTGCAAGGATCAGCATTGGTATATTACATATTCTTATCTTATCGCTATGTTTGTAAGCCTTCGCGTTGGTCTATTAGCTATTCTTATCCTATCGCTGAGTTTGTAAGGCTCTGCGCTCGTTTCTAACGTAATTTGACTATTTATAGAGTCCGTACATGTGACCCTTATCTTTTCCCAGCGCACTACTTGCTATTCGTTGAGTGCGTCGGAATTATGTGTACGATCTTGGTATATTCATCTGTTCATGTCTCAACAACTTGTTTTATATTTGTAGGATCAGAAGCGTTTTTCTGTTCAGCATGAGTTTCAGAGTATGGGGGTGCTATTCTACTAAACAAATGAGTCGTATATTAAATTCAGCGTATCGAGTGTAAGGAGAGTTGCACAATGCAAGAGCGACAAGTAATTATGCAGGTCCCAAATATAAATTCAAATTAATGAGTGAATTCGGCCCAACATACCGGCCCCCTTGAATAACGGAGTAGAGGAAGAATCACTATTTTGTGAACTAGTCTTCGGATTATGCCTTTGGTAGTGCAGACATCTTCAAGTCGTACTCGTTGATCTCGTTCATAGATTGTAACTTTAATGCGACACATTATACAGTTCGGAGAAGGTATGTTGTCCTCATGTATGAGAAACATGTCACCAATAGAGATACTGGATGATAGTTTGATCCACTTGGAGCGTACGTTCAGCTCATTGAAGGAGTCTGCTAGCGTCGCCAAAGTTTGATACCATTGTTTGATACCTGTCTTCAAACGCTAGCGGTCTAAAGATTTCTTCTATATTGTGTTCAGGCAATGCTCGCAAGGAGTGGAAGGTAGATATCAGAGCACCCAAGTCGCATCAATCTGATGATAGTGGAGTGAGCAGGAGCGAGTTGAGAAGGGTTTCTACTTATGCTGTGATTATGGCCAATTCCTCAAACGTGCAGCGGGCATTCATTAGGCTGTGCGTCATGAGTCCCTTGGCGCTTTTAACTGCCGCCTCCCAGAGGCCGCCAAAGTGGTGTGCTCTGAAACGAAAGTTTATGAATTCACTTGTGCAAAAACTAATAATTGATTGTTAATTTTCTTGCTTGAACAATTAGTTCCGTAGATCATTTAATTGATTGCTTGATCCAGTGAAATTCGTGGCGTTGTCTAAATTATATCCATAGGCAATCCTCGTCGTGCAATCATGTGCCCTAAAGCGGGTATGAAAGTATCCGTTGAGAGGTCAGATACCACCTCGCTAGGCACAGCCTTGGTGGCAATATATACTAATGTAAGCCGAAGGTAGACGCTAATGAATGCGTAGGTAGACGCTGACTGGTCCGCAAAAGTCAACTCCACAGTGAGCGAAAGGTCTCGATGGAGTTAATCGCTCTACAGGCAGATCTTCTGAAGATAGAGCGAGCCAGGTTTCGAGCATTTACGATCCAGAATTGAAGACGAATTAGTGCAAGAGGTGCCGAACCTCTGGTGCATTTGCCAATTCGAGACGGCCGCCAATCTTCAGTAGTAGGTATCCGTCTGTAATCTGTACAAATTGATTTCGAAATTTTATGTAACTTGAATTTCATCTGCGAAGTGTTGTTGCTGCAGATCACAAACGCACGTTGTAGCTCTTGAGGTGATGGCGAGGTCGTAGACAGCTCAACGGGTTTCGGAAGCGCGTGTATGAAGCGCAGCATCCAAGCAACAATTCGCAAACAGTCTATGCAACTGCAACTCTTTGGTGTTCGGCTGCATACAGAATCGAGGTCTTGTCAGCGACTCAACTGAAGTAAGCGATGCAGCAAACAATTTCCAAGCTAGGTAAAGTGTTTGTAGCACAGACTCATCCCATTGCAATTTGAGTATCCACAGCTCCTCCTGATCTTTGCTGTCACAATGACTGGCGCTAGAGGCGCTCACGACAGTCCACCAGGACTTGCCTGAACATTTTCACAACATCGGCAGTCAATGCATATTTGTAAGACCGAAGGCGTATCAAAAGCGTAAATAGATCCGTCTGAATAGTTGGTCCAATCACTAACAAGTCATTGAGTGATCGTTGTGATAAAGTTCGATTTGAGGAATCGAAAACAACTCTAAGCTTCGCTGAAGTGCTATTTGGCTTAAAGACGCAGTGATGTGGTATGCGATTGTGTGGGTCGACTAGCCTTCTGTATATTCAGCCTTTATCTGAGGATTGCGATTTAAGCGCCGTTTCAGTCACTCGACTCTCAGCCTTAAATGTCGATGGGCATCTTGAAATCCTCCAAACGTAACTTGATTATGGCCGAAGTGCCAAACTTGATGTTTGTGTGTTATTCGCCAACGCTGCAGATTCCCAATTTGGCAAGCGTAGGGATTTTTCTAACTGATAATCTGATATGAAGTGAGCAAGAATCCAATAGAGCACTACCAATCCTGTAGTTTCCAGATGCATCCATGACCTCGACTATGACCGTTGCTAGAATGATTTGGTCAGTAGTTCGTGTATGTATGTTTGAATACTGCAACGTGAAACTCGATGTTCTGAATAAAGACAAAGAGGACATGAGTGAGTTGAACAATTAAAAGACAAACCATGTCGCGTGGCTTCGTGGTTTGCTTGCAATCGCAGTTCGAAACTGGCTCAATTCTTACTTACCGCGTGATTCCAAATATTGGCAATGCCTCTCAACTACCTTTATACACGAATCCCACGTAGGCAACTTGGAATAATCTAATTATTCGTTCCATTTGCGCTTAGATTCCATGTCCATCTTATCTATGACAATGGCTATTAACATTGTCTGTGCGATATGTGCCTATTGATTTTAGCGAGTTGTCCAATGCTGTAGAGTTGTCAATCGATTTTCGAGACTATTTGACCTTGACATACTCTTGAGCATAAACAACAACGAGATATTGTCCAAGAACACTAATGTTGGATTGTCGTAGCGTTGATTCAAACGATCAAGTGCTTTTCGGAAGTTTTCAGGTGTGATCTGAAATGCCTTCACCGATTCTAATGTTGCTCCTTTTAAGCAGCTGATCAGCTGATTAAAATTTCCAAGCGACACTTTAGTTCAGATTGAATTGGCGCAGATTTCCCTTCTCTTAGTTTGGGATCGAAGACATTACGAATGCCGCTAATATTATGGCAACTGAGCGTGCAAAATATAAGGCGATGAGTTTCACTCAACTGAGCGCGTATAATGTCAAGCAGGAAGAAGGGCAATGCCTGCGACGAATTTCATGCCTTTATGTTATGCAGCGCAGTTTGTGCGTATGTATGTAAGCGCCTTTTTGTGAGCAGCTTCACTTATGTATTTCTACTTTGACGAATATGATTTATGAACGATGTCACGGCGGAAAGCAAATATATGCACAGCAATACCTTTTATGCTGGAACACTCCCGCTTATGTACATATGTATGCAGAATGTATATGTACCTGCGATGTACGGAGCTTTGAACAACACTGCTCCACGTAGGGCGCCAAAAATGTAGGATCAGAAGCGTATTTCTGTCCAGCACGAGTTTCAGAGTACGGGGATGCTATTCTTCTAAACAAATGAGCCGTTCTTTCGTAGAGTTCTTGATATAGACTAAAATATAAAACGTATGAGCAAGCACACTTTGCCTAATGTTCGGCGAATGAGTGTAAGTAAGGAGAGTTGTACAATGCAAGAGTGACAATTGATTAGGGTGGTCCCAAATATAAAAATATAGGTATTAAATTCAAATTAAATGTGAGGGAATTTGGCCCAACATTATTTATGATTACATCTATCGAATCTAGCTTATGTCCAATAATCTTTCTGGAAGATTTCTTTTTATTATATCTTATTATATTATTATATCTCATAGCATTGGAATCATGTTGATTATATTCTTTGCTTATCTGCAATATAGTATGAGATTTGGCTGGAAATAGTTATTGATATGAAATTTTGCATCCCCTCGTGCGGTCGGGCGTCAATAACACGACTGTATAATCGGACGAATCTGGCTGTCGATTCAAATCATGATTCATCTTTCGACCTTGTCGGGAGCGCCTGGGTAGGGGGTACCTTGAACCCATAAAAGTATTCAAGTAATTCAAGAAAACCAATTCCTGTAAGATTAAGGTGGGAAAATATTATCTATTTAATGTAATGTTATCGAACCCCCAATGAAATATGTTATGTAAAGGAAACAATATACAAATATTTTATTAATTTATGATATTTATAGTTTTAGCATATATATCATATATCAAATTGTTCCGAACCCCAAAACATATATGTATGTATATATATAAACAGCAATGCATTTTTCAAAATCTTTTCATAAATATTTTGCCTAATGATAATAATGATTCGTATTTTTTTGAAACGTTGTTCCTGCCTCTTCATCGATATTAACAAATTCATTAGTTATCGAAACCAATGCTTCCGAATTCGCAATTGTTTTCGAAACTTTGCTTAAGTAGTCACTCCTATATGAACTTTCATCAATATTTTGATTTTGTCTTTTACTATGGTGGCGACTACATAAGTTAAAGCATGTTTTTTGAGTTATTTCATTATTTTCTATTTTATTTTCTGACTCAATAACTGTATTATTGCAAGATTGATAGCAATTATCACAAGAGTCTTTATTATTTGCGCAGTCTGATTGATTTGAATTTGGTGAGGATGAAGGTTCATATTTGCGGGGCCGACCCCGAGATAAATGGCGTCTTTTAATGAACTCGTTATCATCAACCATCCAAAAAGAGCCGAAGTCATCTTCGTAACGTACAAAACATTTATGTAGTGACAAATTTGTTCGAATAGCATTCTATAGTTCCATGCAATTATATTATTGTAAAATTAACAAATATAAGAACATATTAATTTGAAATGAATAAAGTATTGGTACATTCATTAATTATGGAATAAAATATTTATATTTTTTTCTCCATAGCTATAGTATTTTGCAATAAGATAAATAGGTTGAATTTATTAAAGCATAAGACAAAATTTTTCACAGCATTCACTTTTTAACTGAAGCGTTTGGACAAGGAGCCATGTAAGTAAGTGTCGCAATGAGTAAGCTAAGTAAAAACGAACTCTCCGACTGTATTCCAACGTTAAAATATGGATATATTATCTGAGCTGAAGGCCTGTATTCCTAATTTTGTAATTAATTAATTAATCCATAGCCAATCAAATATAGGTTGTATTAAGTCGCATATAAAAAAAAAAAAAAAATATTAATGATAAAGTAATATCAGTAACCATAGAGCACATAGACCGGATACGCAGTGTAAAGCCTTTTGCACAGTTCTTTTTTTTAGCATTAAAGCCCCAGATTATTTCTTATTTGCTCGGTTCCTTTTATGTTCGAGCTACGAAAATATGCGAAAGCACAATCATTTCACTTCATGTGCTCGACCGAGATGGTCGTCTCTTGAACAAAAGATGCCTCTATGCTCAAGTTTTTGTCTTGCTCTCTCTCTCTCTCTCTCTCTCTCTGCTCTCTCAAATGCTTCTATGCTCAATTTGGCGTAAAAAAAATAACTTATGTGTGTTTTTCCCTCTCTCCTTTGGGCTTCTTTTGAGCCTTAATTTTCATACTCATTTACGTAAGTGAATTAGTATATTGGTTTTGTGCAATGTCCGTCTTGCTGTCCGTCCGTCTGTCCGTCCGTCCTTCTGTCCGTATGAATGCAATCTATTTCGGCGTTATTGAAGCATTTGCATATGCATTTTCCGATATGCCAGAAATCATGTTAGTTGAAGAGCTAGAAAGCTGAAATTTGGTATGTAGGTCCGCGTCGACCACCCTAGATCACGAGCTATGGCGGATATATCTCCGCCCATTGGGGGCGTGGCAAATTGGATAAAGCTGTATCTCCAAGAGTTTTACAGCTAGAGTGCTGAAATTTTGCACGTCAGCTAATGTTATGATTCTATAATGTCTAAAAATAAAATTATAAGTCTACGCCCATTAGGGGCGTGGCAAATCGGACCTGAAGGTATAGTGATTTTTTAAATTCTGCTATATTTTGGACACTATTGATGCCAGAGACCTCAAATTTTGTATATATAGTCGGGCTGATCATCCAAGACCAAAAAGCTCTGTCCGATATATGTCCGCCCACAGGGGGCGTGGCAAACCGTAAAAGTTTATATCTAGAATAGCTAGAAGCTTCAAATTTAAATAGTTAAGTTACCAGTAACCTCCTCTATCGATGACCCAAAAATAATTTTTACGCCTCTTTAGGGGCGTGGCATTCGACAAATACCCTGTAATTTGCACATTTTTTGAGGGTAAGCATTCAAATTTTATAGTTAGGGTATTGTTATCACGTTCTAAGAACTGACCAAACATGAGGTGTCTACGCTCAGTAGGGGCGTGGTACAGTATTTGAGCGAAACTTAACTACTAAATTGTTGATGGGATGTGAATGACTTCCACAGTCGGTAACGCTCGACTGCAACGTTCTTACTTGTTTTAAATTCATAACTCTTTGCGGTCCCTGGTTTTTACGCCGCCCGTATACCACGCTTTCTCCTGCCCTCGGTCCCTCGGGCTCCACTTGTAAGGTTACATTTATTACGGCCGAGGCTAGATCTCGGTCTCACAAGGGCCAGAACTTACAAGAAAATTTATTAAGTTCTACGGCACACAGAATCGGAAAGGGGGGGACAGTTTTAAGCTTACGCGCTACAAAGCCTAGTTGCTACAAAACCTAAAACTACCAATGGAAACTTAATAAATATGCAACAATGCCTCACGAAATATAAATGAAACCTTATTATCCAACTTCCGCACTACAAAAAGGCTGCTTGCTATGGCGCGAGCAGACAACGCAATGCCAGGCGGTTCGAGGGCATGAAGCGAAATGATTGTGCTTTAAACGTAAGGAGCCGAGCAAGTTGTCTGGGGCTTCAATGCTAAAAAAAGTGCAAAAACTCTTTATACTATGTGTCCGGCCTTTGTGCTGTACGGCTAGTGGTAGTATGCAGTTAAAGAAATTTTTGATAATTTGATGTTAATTACAAATAACAGGTAAACGAACGGACATTTATTACGTTATATACGTTATGATTCTTATAAGGCTTGGCTTAAAGACTAGACGAGCGGACAAAGCACAATTGCAAAGAAATTACGTACACTCAGTACTCTATTAAGGCGCTGTCAGTCAAAAATTACGAAACCGGTTATTAATATTTCTTTCAATATATGAAAATTATAAGATTTTCGTTATAAAGCTTTCCATGACCATGACCATCCATGACCTCGACTATGACCGTTGCTAGAATGATTTGGTCAGTAGTTCGTGTATGTATGTTTGAATACTGCAACGTGAAACTCGATGTTCTGAATAAAGACAAAGAGGACATGAGTGAGTTGAACAATTAAAAGACAAACCATGTCGCGTGGCTTCGTGGTTTGCTTGCAATCGCAGTTCGAAACTGGCTCAATTCGTACTTACCGCGTGATTCCAAATATTGGCAATGCCTCTCAACTACCTTTATACACGAATCCCACGTAGGCAACTTGGAATAATCTAATTATTCGTTCCATTTGCGCTTAGATTCCATGTCCATCTTATCTATGACAATGGCTATTAACATTGTCTGTGCGATATGTGCCTATTGATTTTAGCGAGTTGTCCAATGCTGTAGAGTTGTCAATCGATTTTCGAGACTATTTGACCTTGACATACTCTTGAGCATAAACAACAACGAGATATTGTCCAAGAACACTAATGTTGGATTGTCGTAGCGTTGATTCAAACGATCAAGTGCTTTTCGGAAATTTTCAGGTGTGATCTGAAATGCCTTCACCGATTCTAATGTTGCTCCTTTTAAGCAGCTGATCAGCTGATTAAAATTTCCAAGCGACACTTTAGTTCAGATTGAATTGGCGCAGATTTCCCTTCTCTTAGTTTGGGATCGAAGACATTACGAATGCCGCTAATATTATGGCAACTGAGCGTGCAAAATATAAGGCGATGAGTTTCACTCAACTGAGCGCGTATAATGTCAAGCAGGAAGAAGGGCAATGCCTGCGACGAATTTCATGCCTTTATGTTATGCAGCGCAGTTTGTGCGTATGTATGTAAGCGCCTTTTTGTGAGCAGCTTCACTTATGTATTTCTACTTTGACGAATATGATTTATGAACGATGTCACGGCGGAAAGCAAATATATGCACAGCAATACCTTTTATGCTGGAACACTCCCGCTTATGTACATATGTATGCAGAATGTATATGTACCTGCGATGTACGGAGCTTTGAACAACACTGCTCCACGTAGGGCGCCAAAAATGTAGGATCAGAAGCGTATTTCTGTCCAGCACGAGTTTCAGAGTACGGGGATGCTATTCTTCTAAACAAATGAGCCGTTCTTTCGTAGAGTTCTTGATATAGACTAAAATATAAAACGTATGAGCAAGCACACTTTGCCTAATGTTCGGCGAATGAGTGTAAGTAAGGAGAGTTGTACAATGCAAGAGTGACAATTGATTAGGGTGGTCCCAAATATAAAAATATAGGTATTAAATTCAAATTAAATGTGAGGGAATTTGGCCCAACATTATTTATGATTACATCTATCGAATCTAGCTTATGTCCAATAATCTTTCTGGAAGATTTCTTTTTATTATATCTTATTATATTATTATATCTCATAGCATTGGAATCATGTTGATTATATTCTTTGCTTATCTGCAATATAGTATGAGATTTGGCTGGAAATAGTTATTGATATGAAATTTTGCATCCCCTCGTGCGGTCGGGCGTCAATAACACGACTGTATAATCGGACGAATCTGGCTGTCGATTCAAATCATGATTCATCTTTCGACCTTGTCGGGAGCGCCTGGGTAGGGGGTACCTTGAACCCATAAAAGTATTCAAGTAATTCAAGAAAACCAATTCCTGTAAGATTAAGGTGGGAAAATATTATCTATTTAATGTAATGTTATCGAACCCCCAATGAAATATGTTATGTAAAGGAAACAATATACAAATATTTTATTAATTTATGATATTTATAGTTTTAGCATATATATCATATATCAAATTGTGCCGAACCCCAAAACATATATGTATGTATATATATAAACAGCAATGCATTTTTCAAAATCTTTTCATAAATATTTTGCCTAATGATAATAATGATTCGTATTTTTTTGAAACGTTGTTCCTGCCTCTTCATCGATATTAACAAATTCATTAGTTATCGAAACCAATGCTTCCGAATTCGCAATTGTTTTCGAAACTTTGCTTAAGTAGTCACTCCTATATGAACTTTCATCAATATTTTGATTTTGTCTTTTACTATGGTGGCGACTACATAAGTTAAAGCATGTTTTTTGAGTTATTTCATTATTTTCTATTTTATTTTCTGACTCAATAACTGTATTATTGCAAGATTGATAGCAATTATCACAAGAGTCTTTATTATTAGCGCAGTCTGATTGATTTGAATTTGGTGAGGATGAAGGTTCATATTTGCGGGGCCGACCCCGAGATAAATGGCGTCTTTTAATGAACTCGTTATCATCAACCATCCAAAAAGAGCCGAAGTCATCTTCGTAACGTACAAAACATTTATGTAGTGACAAATTTGTTCGAATAGCATTCTATAGTTCCATGCAATTATATTATTGTAAAATTAACAAATATAAGAACATATTAATTTGAAATGAATAAAGTATTGGTACATTCATTAATTATGGAATAAAATATTTATATTTTTTTCTCCATAGCTATAGTATTTTGCAATAAGATAAATAGGTTGAATTTATTAAAGCATAAGACAAAATTTTTCACAGCATTCACTTTTTAACTGAAGCGTTTGGACAAGGAGCCATGTAAGTAAGTGTCGCAATGAGTAAGCTAAGTAAAAACGAACTCTCCGACTGTATTCCAACGTTAAAATATGGATATATTATCTGAGCTGAAGGCCTGTATTCCTAATTTTGTAATTAATTAATTAATCCATAGCCAATCAAATATAGGTTGTATTAAGTCGCATATAAAAAAAAAAAAAAAATATTAATGATAAAGTAATATCAGTAACCATAGAGCACATAGACCGGATACGCAGTGTAAAGCCTTTTGCACAGTTCTTTTTTTTAGCATTAAAGCCCCAGATTATTTCTTATTTGCTCGGTTCCTTTTATGTTCGAGCTACGAAAATATGCGAAAGCACAATCATTTCACTTCATGTGCTCGACCGAGATGGTCGTCTCTTGAACAAAAGATGCCTCTATGCTCAAGTTTTTGTCTTGCTCTCTCTCTCTCTCTCTCTCTCTCTCTCTGCTCTCTCAAATGCTTCTATGCTCAATTTGGCGTAAAAAAAAATAACTTATGTGTGTTTTTCCCTCTCTCCTTTGGGCTTCTTTTGAGCCTTAATTTTCATACTCATTTACGTAAGTGAATTAGTATATTGGTTTTGTGCAATGTCCGTCTTGCTGTCCGTCCGTCTGTCCGTCCGTCCTTCTGTCCGTATGAATGCAATCTATTTCGGCGTTATTGAAGCATTTGCATATGCATTTTCCGATATGCCAGAAATCATGTTAGTTGAAGAGCTAGAAAGCTGAAATTTGGTATGTAGGTCCGCGTCGACCACCCTAGATCACGAGCTATGGCGGATATATCTCCGCCCATTGGGGGCGTGGCAAATTGGATAAAGCTGTATCTCCAAGAGTTTTACAGCTAGAGTGCTGAAATTTTGCACGTCAGCTAACGCTATGATTCTATAATGTCTAAAAATAAAATTATAAGTCTACGCCCATTAGGGGCGTGGCAAATCGGACCTGAAGGTATAGTGATTTTTTAAATTCTGCTATATTTTGGACACTATTGATGCCAGAGACCTCAAATTTTGTATATATAATCGGGCTGATCATCCAAGACCAAAAAGCTCTGTCCGATATATGTCCGCCCACAGGGGGCGTGGCAAACCGTAAAAGTTTATATCTAGAATAGCTAGAAGCTTCAAATTTAAATAGTTAAGTTACCAGTAACCTCCTCTATCGATGACCCAAAAATAATTTTTACGCCTCTTTAGGGGCGTGGCATTCGACAAATACCCTGTAATTTGCACATTTTTTGAGGGTAAGCATTCAAATTTTATAGTTAGGGTATTGTTATCACGTTCTAAGAACTGACCAAACATGAGGTGTCTACGCTCAGTAGGGGCGTGGTACAGTATTTGAGCGAAACTTAACTACTAAATTGTTGATGGGATGTGAATGACTTCCACAGTCGGTAACGCTCGACTGCAACGTTCTTACTTGTTTTAAATTCATAACTCTTTGCGGTCCCTGGTTTTTACGCCGCCCGTATACCACGCTTTCTCCTGCCCTCGGTCCCTCGGGCTCCACTTGTAAGGTTACATTTATTACGGCCGAGGCTAGATCTCGGTCTCACAAGGGCCAGAACTTACAAGAAAATTTATTAAGTTCTACGGCACACAGAATCGGAAAGGGGGGGACAGTTTTAAGCTTACGCGCTACAAAGCCTAGTTGCTACAAAACCTAAAACTACCAATGGAAACTTAATAAATATGCAACAATGCCTCACGAAATATAAATGAAACCTTATTATCCAACTTCCGCACTACAAAAGGCTGCTTGCTATGGCGCGAGCAGACAACGCAATGCCAGGCGGTTCGAGGGCATGAAGCGAAATGATTGTGCTTTAAACGTAAGGAGCCGAGCAAGTTGTCTGGGGCTTCAATGCTAAAAAAAGTGCAAAAACTCTTTATACTATGTGTCCGGCCTTTGTGCTGTACGGCTAGTGGTAGTATGCAGTTAAAGAAATTTTTGATAATTTGATGTTAATTACAAATAACAGGTAAACGAACGGACATTTATTACGTTATATACGTTATGATTCTTATAAGGCTTGGCTTAAAGACTAGACGAGCGGACAAAGCACAATTGCAAAGAAATTACGTACACTCAGTACTCTATTAAGGCGCTGTCAGTCAAAAATTACGAAACCGGTTATTAATATTTCTTTCAATATATGAAAATTATAAGATTTTCGTTATAAAGCTTTCCTGGCTGGCAAGAAAAGGGTTGTATGTCATAAAAATAATCCCTTAATTTTTAGGAAAATTGCAGGAAATTTTTCGATATGCCAGCCTCAAAGAGGCATAATAATTAATTCTAGGTCATCAGCAGAGGCGATTATTAGTAATTCAACTATAACTTTTTTTCTATACTCATTCACGAAAGTGAATTTCGGCGCTATTAAAGCTAGGAATACTCCTGTATATCTCAGATTTATAAAGTGCTAAAATTTTCGCGATGTGCCCACTAGGGTCGTGACAAATCGGAAAATGCATTTTCCGATTAACAAGAAATCACATTAGTTGAAGAGCTAGAAGCTATGGTAGATCAACGCCCATTGGGGCCGTGACAAATAGGATAAAACTGTATCTCCTGGAGTCGTAAAGATAGAATGTTAATATTTTGCACATGAGCTAATGATATGATTCTATAAAGACTGATGAAAATATTACATGTCTACGGCCACTAGGGGCGTGGTAAATCGGCAAACCTGACGAACGTATACACTTGACTATGATGGTGTTTAGTTTCGTATTGATCTTTATATAGGTTTATAGACCCAGACTCATGCATATTTTTAACCTTAAATCTGGTGCGTCTATTGCTGAGTGTGCAAGGATCAGCATTGGTATATTACATATTCTTATCTTATCGCTATGTTTGTAAGCCTTCGCGTTGGTCTATTAGCTATTCTTATATTATCGCTGAGGCTGTAAGGCTCTGCGCTCGTTTCTAACATAATTTGACTCTGGGGTTTCAAAGGTTAGTGTTCATTTGTCATTTATAGAGTCCGTACATGTGACCCTTATATTTTCCCAGTGCACTACCTGCCAGTCATTGAGCACATCGGAGGCATGTATACCATCTTCGTATACTCAACCATTCTACAAATTATTCTTCGTGGTCTCTCTTAATAAGCAAAAGTGCAAACGGCAAATCCTAAACAGACTAATTTAAAGTGATTATCGCACTGACGTGCGAGATTCTTACATAGTGATTAATAAACTTTCCATTGCTATTACGTTAAAGGCGATCAAAATATAAGCGACGACTATTTCGATTGTCTTAAAAGGAGCCATTAGCACGTGGCATAACAACGCTATTTGAACTAAATACAGAAACTACTACTGTTATAGATATAAAAGAACTAGAAGAGATGGAGGATATAATAATGGACAAACGTATAGGTATTAAAAGAACGAGAGAAAAAAATATTATTTTTAATTGTTCTATAAATTACAAAATATTAGTATTCATCATTTAGGTAAAGTTTTGCAAACGAAGTAAAAATATCCTTGGATATATATGACGTACACCAAAATAAATTTAAAGTTATACGTATCTAGCTTTATTGGTTTTCGAGATCCCTGCACGAACGGAGAGGCGAATCTAAAATAAGGCATATGTATACTATTTGGGGTCTTCGTACATACGCCCTTCTCCAAAGCATAATACCCTACAATTCCATTATCGATGAGTTCAGGGTATAACAAATCGATATTGCGAACTAACAGATCTACATAACCCTTCGAAGAAGTGATATTCCAATCATTCTACCCTTTTTAATGCATACACACTCACGTACTAATACAAGCATACAAGTATATAAGTTCCTTTTTTATATAGGAGGCAAAGTGGGCGTGGTTTAACAAAAATCAAATTATTGATTATAGTCGATAAAATGAGATAGGATGAATTATCGAATATATATAATGAACTTGTACTGCTTATGGTACACACGAGTATGTATTCGTTTATACAATCGTACAGACACCCGATCAGGCACCCCAGATCAATTCAACTTGTCCTCTTGATTAAGAATATATGTATATGTACTTTATAGAGTCTCCC